GAGCCACCCCTTCCCCAAGTCCTCTTCACCCCACACCTTCCTCCCAGCATGGCGGAGCTAAGCAACAGTCCATCGCTGAGATGGAAGTCTCCTCCAGAAACACAGGGGCATAGGTTACCCTGCCAGGCTCCAGTGACCATCTGCTCTGCTTACAGGGGGGTAGGTCCCAGGCCCTCTTGCTACAAGTCCCCAGAAAGGACTGTGGTGGCTGTGGGTCTTTGACTTCTTTAACAACCAACCAATCCCAAAGTTCCCAATCTGCAGTCCCCGAGGGGCAGAGGTGGAGTTCTTTGAGGGCGGAAATGTTGGGAACCACCAGCCCATGTGACTATCCTTTCCTGTTTGTCAGATGGGGAAACTGAGGCCCAGAAAGCATGGCATCTGGCACAAGTCAACTGCCATTCGGGGCTGAAGGGGGTGCAGAATGTGGCCTTCCCCAGTGCGGACAATCCCCAGTGCCCTGCCCTGCTTCTCCTCCCACCAGGCAGCTGGTTCTTCTGGTCTGGGCGCCAAACGCGGCTCCCTCGCCAGCTCTGCCATCTGCCCTCTCCCTTCCTCCCTCCTCCTGCTGGTTTTCCTCCTTTCTGCCCTTCCTCTCCCAGCCTGTGTTCTTTCTCCTCAGGCTCAGGCCTGCCCAACAGCTTTGCACATGCAGGTCATGTGGGATTCCCTGTGTGGCTGGGGACTCCCTGAAGCAGGGAACCGGGGCCACATCCTTGAAGCCAGCCGCAGGCTGCCATCCCAGCAGCTCCAGCAATGCCGCTGGGCCTTGACTTCTCACCTAAAATGGGGGTAACAAACCCACTTGATGGGGATGTCACATGCCTAGGAAGAGTGACTGTATGGTAGGCCTTAAATGTCCATTTTCACAAACCTCTGAGCCCACCCCAACCCTGGCACTCAAATCCTATTACAGATGAGGCCTGGGAGAGCTAGGATTTCCCAAGTTCCTGCTCTGTGGTTCTTCCTGCTCTGGATGCCAAACCCCTGGCTCTCCCAGGCTTCCCCAGCTCCCCTGCTGCCCTCATACACAAGGAAATGCCCAAGAGGCATGGCAGAAACCTATGAGCCAACATCTGAAGAACTCCTTGTGGCTGGCCCCATCTGAGCCCTGAGAGGGGATGGCCCTGAGCGCCACAGGCAGCGGAGGAGAAGAGATTCCAAGACTGTCAGTGATAAACGTCAAAGGCACACTGGCCTTATGTCCATGGCCCTCGCACCCTGACTAAGTGACAGGCTGTGACTGGTGCTGGAAGAGGACAGGCTGGACAAGACCACACACTTCCTGCCAGGACACCTGCCTCCAGAGCCCTCTCCCAGACACACCTCCACGCGGCAGCCATAAGGAGCTTCTGAAACATGCCTCTTCTGTTTAACACCCCTCTCTGTGACTCCCCACCGCCCTCAGATGAAGTCCAGCTTGTGTCTCTGTCATCTAAGGCCTTTTCTGAGCTGCCCCCCGGCCTCTGGAGCATACTCAGAGTGTGGTGTCACTTGCGCTCACACCAGGGGCTCCCAGGAGCTCACCACTACCTCTAAAGCCACTCAGGACTGGTGCCTCCAGAGACCTGTACATGCTGTTCCTTCTTTCTGGACTGCCCCTCCCCACTTCTTTATCTGAATCAACTCGGTTATCACCCTGAGAACCATCCACACCCCCTGGCAGAGGTAGCTACTCCCCAGCTGATTTCCTTCTTGTAGCGTCCCAGGGCTCGCAAACAGTGCTTGTCACTGGACTGAGAGCATCTCTGGTGGGACACACAGACTGGCACTGAGCAGGGACTTGGCATTGTCCCTGGATGAACCAATGAACACCAGAGCTGGCTAGGGGCTCTGTCTCTACACTGGGCCCTTCACCCACCACAGCAGCAGGCTCCAGAACATCTACTGGGGGTGGCTGGGCATGACAATCTGCTTGAGATCAGGGACAAAGGGTCTCATCTCGAAGCTGGTATTCCCTCATTCGAAGCTGAGATAGTGGTCCAAGCTCGGAGCTGCCAGAGGGCTCACCAGCTCCTTCCCCACCTTCCCAAACCTGGTTAATTCCTCAATTCCTGCTGTGAGTAATTAATTACCCTGTCAGGTCTGGGAAGGACAGGAGGGGGAGGGGGCAGGGGCAGTGGGAGGCTGAGGAAACCTCAGTCAGGAGACAAAGGGGGTCCAGCAGGGACAGGGAGCTCAGGTCCCATGTGGGTCCAGGTTTGGTGAGGTTCTGAAACACACAGTTTGGGGGCCTTCTTTCAGAAAAATAACAGAAAAAGATATTTCTTTCACAAATTTTACAAAATCACAAGCCCATGGGCACACATGGTGAGGGCTCCTCCAGGGCTGTGGAAGGGGAAGGTGACAAAGGAGTCCAGCATCGAGTGCCCAGCCATCTCAGTGTGTCTGGGAAGGAGGGACTGCCAGGAAACATGAGTGCTAAGCTGGGAACTTTCTGGCAAATCAGGATGAACTGGTCACCTTAGCCCCGGAGCTCAGGCTTCATCAGCTTGAAGGTGAAGCTTGGTACCTCCCAGACACGAGGACTGGGAGAGGGTGAGGGTGGGGGCAGGTCTCCAACTGTACCCACTGCATGCTCCTTCACATGTCAAATGTCACATCGCACCACACATTTTTTAAAAAGACTGGAAGCAGACAGCAGCCCTCCCTAAGTGGTGGGATCACATGTGGTTTTTCCCCCCGATTTTTTTTTTATTGTGGTAAAATACATACAAGATTTACTACCTTAACCATTTTTAAGTGTATAGTTCAGTGATATTAAGTACTTTTATACTGCTGCAGTTGTCACAAGTGATTTTTATATTTTCCAAAATTCAGCAGGTATTACTTTTATGATGAGAAAAAGCATTTTTTAAAGATGTCAACCAGCCCGTATCGGATGCCTCTGCTCACCCAAAGGTGTCAAGCAGGGTTAACAGGCTGTATGTGGGAGGGATCTGGGCGTTGGATGGGCGTTGGCTTTGATGACTCTGATCCTTTCCAATCTGGGACCCCAAACTTGTCCTGCCCCCCCCAGGGAAGCAACATGATTTGGGTTTGAATCCTGTCTGCCACTTGCATGCTAGGTAATGTTGGGGCTCTGAGCCTCAATTCCTCAAGGGTGACACAGGCTGTTGGGGGCCTTAGCTGGGTAACCGTGTGAGTGCCCCGCACACAGTGGGTGCTCAAGAGTTAATATGCCTTTCTCCTGCCCGGTTGTGCACATGTGTAAACCCTGCTTGTCCTTCCAGGCCCAATTTGCTATCATCTTCTCCATGAAACCTGAGTGCCACAGCAGGGAGACCCCCTCCTGGCTCTCATGGCCTCTGCCTAGGGGTCCCTGGCCCACTCCCCAGGGGGACTGTGGGCTCCCTGAGCACTAAGGGCTGTGTCTGAGTCATGCTTCCTTCCCTCGGGGTGAGCAGACTCAATAAAGCTTTCTGAATGAAGTGACCCAGCAGACAAAATGCCCCACTCCCTCCACAAAGCCAGTGGCTTCACCCTCCCAGGAGAGTGGCCCCAGGGTGGGCAAAGGGGAGCAGTGCACACAGCCGGCCTACCTGACCAGGCAGGCGGCCCCTAGAGCTCCACCTCTGCCAAGGCCCTGTCAGGGCCTCTGGGCAGCTGGCCTCCAGCACAGACGAATGAACTCAGCACCACAAGCCCTCATGGATGTGTCCAGGGTGTCAGCCCCTGTGCTGGCACTGGGGCTTCCCTGCCCTCAAAGAGTTCCCCATCTGGTGGGCACTTAACAATAATGGGATTTAAACGACGCTACCCTTCGGGCAGCACCAGAAGATACTAACCTTTTCAGACAAAGGAAAGACGGCTCCCTTTCTCTCCGGGAACCAGAGATAAACACCCAACCTGTCCCACCCATCAGACCCTAATATGGCCCTGAGAACCCAGGAAATTAAGCCTAAGCACCCCGAGGCCATAGCTGGCCTTAGGGAAAGCCCTCTGGGTTTGCGGAAAGTGCCCCTGCCCAGTGTCCCCAATCCAGATCCTCTGGTCTGTGTCCATAGGAAAGGACCCCAGGCCCACAGAGGCAAGACCCTCTAGCGAGGGTGTCTGGGCAATAGCTAGCCAACCCCAAGGGGGCGCCAGTAACCACCCCCCAGACCCCAAGCAGCAGGCCTTCCTTCTCTGAGATGCTGCCCAGGCTGTCTGAACCCCTCCCTCTGTGCTGTCTCTGTCCCTTCCCCCTGCGGAATTCTGTCCTGACTAGGCTGGAGGTTCAGAACCGGCCTCTCCACTCACCACCCTGGCAAGGGGATCCTCCACAGGTATCCAGGTGTGTGCTGGGGGGTGGGGGCTGTCATGGATTCGTGAAGTATCGGAGCCCAAGAAGGCTCCCCCACTCCTCTACAGAAGGGGAAACTGAGGCACGAGAGAGGGGCTGCCGCTCCCCCTCAGAATTTAACTCCTCGCTCCCCGTGAGCACTTCCTGGGTGGTTCCCAGCCCAAGGTCACGCCGCGAAGGAGAGGCAGTTCCCGGAGCGAAGCCAGGGCGCCGACTCCCGACGCATCGCCCCACACCGTCCGGGCTGTGCCGTAAAGATCCGGTTCCCTGCCCGCTCCTGGAACGTGCGCAGGAGGCGCGGCGGGCACCCCCGCGACATGATCCACGCCCCGATCCACCCCAAAAGAGGCCACCTGAAACCCCGGCTCCGTCCCCACGGCCACGGGTCCGCCCGGCGGCCGCGCGCAGCCCGAGCCGCGAGCCGCACAGCCGCGGCCTGGAGGTCACGGTGACGCGGGCGGCGCGCTCGAGTGAGGGGCTCCGGGAAGCAGGGGCTTCGGGAAACGAGGGCTCCCGGGGCAGGAGCGGTGACCCCCGCAACCTCCGGGACCCCAGCCCAGGGCCCGGGAAGGGGCGGGCGCCGGCACCCCGGCCGGCCGGCTCCCCGCGGGCTGCCACGCTCCTGCGCCGGGTCCAGTGGGGTCGGGGCCCGTCCGGGCACGCCGCCCGTGCTCGTGCCCCCACCCCACCCCCGCGGGCCGCCAGCCGTCCTTACCCAAGACACAACTCGCAGAATGGTGTGAGGCTGCCGGACCAGGGTGTGGGGGTCGAAGGCGCCCCCGGCTTTGCCGGCTCCGTACGCACCCCCTTCCATCGTGGCTGCACCCGCGCGGCGCCCCCCGCTCGGCGCGCGCCGCCAAGCCGTGCGCGTGCGCGGCGCCCCCGCCCCCTCCCCTGCTCGGGCGGTTAGCGCTGCCCAGGGCTCCCGCCAGGGGGCGCAGGACGCGGAGGGCGCCGGGGTGCGCGTGGGGCGCGGGCGGGTGGGCCGCGCGCGCTCTCGTTCGCGGGGACGCGTGTGCTGCGGACCGCGCGGAGGGCGCGCCCGTCGCTAGCGTGGTGACCTCTTCGTGGAATGGCAGGGCCAGCGTTTGTCCTCCTCAGGGTGCTTGACACACAGTAGGTGCTGCATGAAGACTTCTGGAATGACCGAATAAGCCACGAATGAATTACCGTTCTCAGAGCTCTCCGAAGCACAGCCCCACCTCCTCCAGGACCTTTCCCACCTTGCTTTTACGCTGACGTTATGTGGATCCGTGTCTGTGCACACCCCACCCGCAGCCTGGAGGGGCGGGGAGACACCTGGCAAAGAGTCGGAGTCTGAGGAAGGGCAATAAATTCTTTATGAGACTACCCCTTCCCCTGCCCCATCTCGCCCTTTTTCTTAATCCAGTCGTTAATCATGGAATTATTTGCTCATTGTTTGCCAGTGCGTGGGTTCTGTCTAGCTTGTTCGATGCGGAGGCGAGGCCTGGCACGGCAGTGGGTACTCCATAAATAGCCTCTAGTCCCCATCACCCACCCCGCCACAGCTTGAGCTAGGGCTCCAGGGGTCAAGGAAACTGAGACTGGATGGAGTGGTGCTGGTTTCCGCAGGAAGAACTACCTTCCAGACCCCGGCTCTTCCCCTGACGTGTAGTCCTATGGTTTCTCGCTATGGTACCAGGAACAGGTTGGACAGGTTTTCTGCAGACCTTTGCTGCCCCGATGTCTTGTCATTCTGCGATGACGGGACAACAGATCTGTGCAGACGAAAGGTGTGATGGGTATGAGGGCGCCTTTTATAAACATTGCATAGGCAAATATCCATCTGGGCTCTGTTTACCAAGAGTTAACTCTGTGCCAGGAGGGCTTTGCACACATTACCCCATTTAATATGGCAACCTTGTGAGGCAGCTACTATGATTATGTAAGACTTCTAGAAGAAAACATAAGAGAAAATTTCTGTGACTTTGGGTTAGGCAAAGAGATCTTGGATACAACACCAAGAGCATGATCCTTAAAAGAAAACAATTGATAACTTGGACTGCATCAAAATTAGTAACTTCTGCTCTTCAAAAGATACTGTTGAAAGAGTGAGTGAAAAGGCAAACCAAAATCTAGGAAAGACTATTTGTAAAGCATACATCTGATAAAGAATTTGCTTCCCAAGTATATAAAGAACTCTAAAAGGTCACAATAAGAAAACAATCTGCTTTTTGAAAAAAAATGGGCAAAAGATTTGAACAGATACATTTCACCAAAAAAGGTATGCAGATGGTAACTAAGCACACGAAAAGATGCTCAACATCATTAGTCATGAGAGAAATGCAAATTAAAACCAGAATGAGATCCATCCACACATCTATTAAAATGGCTGAAAATATTTTAAATTTGATGCTATCAAGTGCTAACAAGGATTTAGAGTAACTGGAACTCATACATGGCTGGTAAAAATACAGAAAACACAGAAAAAAACAATTTAGCAGTTGCTCATAACTATATACATTTACCATATATGACGCTGCGATCCTCTCTTTGGCATTTAGCCTAGAGAAGTGAAGTTATGTTCACACAAAGCCCTGTACAAGAATGTTTTAAAGGTTTTAATTTTCATAGCCAAAACCTGGAAACAACCTGAATATCCTTCAATAGGGAAATATATAAACAAACTGTGGGACATCTATACAATGGGATAAAAAGGAATGCATGATGGATATACCCAGCAACATGGGTGAACCGTAAATGTATTATATTAAATGAATGAAGCCAGACTCAAAAGGCTACAGACTGCATGGTTCCCTTTATGTGACAGTCTTGCAAAAGCAACCTAGAGGGACAGAAAACAGTTTGGCAGTTGCCAGGGTCTGGAGTGGGACTTGGGGGCAGGGGATTTACTATTAGGATTTACTATTAAGGAGAATGAGAAAATGTGGGAGGATAATGCAATCATTTTATATGTTGTTTGTGGTAATGGTTACACAATTGACTATGGCAAAACTTGCAGAACCCACTAACTATAAATTCTTATCTGTAAAAAGGATGATTTCCACTATATGCAAATTATATATAATTTTTGTAAGTGGAGGAAAAAGTATGCAAGTGTGATGAGCCGAATCAGTGAGTAATATTCAGATCAGTGAGTAGTGTTCATTCATTTATTCATTCAATAAGGTTTTATTTGAAGCCCATCTTGCATAAGGCTTTGTGCTAGGTATAGGGGCATAAAGGGTGAAGGATTTAGATACTTTTCCTAACCCTTCCAGCATTAAGATTTGATCATGATAATGAATTAAATCTCAGAAAGGGTGGTGTTTAGGAACCTGAGCTTCAGATTCAGGTATTCTTAGATGGAAATCTTGGCTGCTCCTGTTCCATCACTGTGTGCCCTTGAGCAAATGACTTCACCTCTCTGGGCCTGTTTCATCTGAAAAATGAAAATAAGCATAGTGCCTTGTTATAAGTAAACCAGAGGATTAGTGTCAGGGTTAAATGAGAGAATGCATGAAATGTGCTTAGAATAGTGCCCAATATAAAGAATGAGCTTAATAAACATCAGTCTCCCCATCCCAGTTGGTCTTCAAGGGAGGTATGTACAAGATATATAGGCGTTTTCTTAGAAACACAAAGTTACAAATGATGGGTAGGTTTCCAGGCTCACCCATGAACCTCTGCTTCATACCTATCATTGCAATTTAGAGAAACATTCTCCCTTCTACCATTTGCAGTCATGTGTTCTGCCGTTAGCAGCAAGGCTAAAAGAGGAAGTCAGGTTGCTCTCTGTAGGTCAATATTTTGCAACCCAGAGCTGCCTGGGTCTTGCCATACTCTGTCCAGTAATTCCAGTTCCGGGCCCAGCCAGAGCTGCTCTTGCCTGTGTTCCTCTCTCCTGCCTCCTCGAGGCTGCTTTGGTGTGGAAGGTCTGTTTGCTGCGAGTGTGGAGTCCCCTGGGCACAGGGGCAATGCATCAGTTGTATCTGAGTGGATGAGCCACAGCATAATTATAATCTTACAAATTTACTACAAGTACCTTTCTGGAGGGCTGGTTGGCCATGTGTTTCAATTGACCAAAAACGTTTGACACAGCAATCCCAATCTTTTCCCAAAGAAGGGATTACAGGAGTACCCACAGATCTAGTTAGCTCTAAGCCTATCTACTGAACCTTCATCTAGTCATTTGTTCAACATATATGGCCCCACTGTATGCCAGTTTATTGAAAATCCTTGGGATCCAACTGCATATGAGCTCTGACCTAAAGGGTCTCATAGTCCAGGTCAAAAAATAACTAGGGTGGCTGATGAAGTATGGCCACAAATCCTTTGACCTTCCTCCGGTAGAGAACTGGGGTCTATGTCTCCTCCCTTGAATGTGGGCAGGCTTGTGATTGGTTGATCAATAGAAAGACATTGTACCATTTTCCTGGCCTAGACCTTAAGAAAATATCAGTTTTCACCTTCCATCTCTTGGAGCACAGGCCTGAGCTGTCACGTAAGAAGTCTGATTGTGTTGACACCACCAAGACCTCATGTACATACTCAGGGCAAGAGTCCCAGCTGAGTGCAGCCCTCTTGCCATCACTGTCCTGCCCCCTCCAGACTCACCCACGAACCAGCTGAATACCACCAACTGACCTCATTGATGCCACCTGGGAAAAAACCCACTCAGCTGAGCCCTGGCCTAATTGCTGAAGCACAACATCATGACATATAAAGTGGCTGTTGTTCTGAGACACCAAGTTTTGCAATAATTTGTTGTGCAGCAATAGAGAACAACCATAGCGAACCAACAGGAGCTTCTGCACCAGGGCAATGGAAAGAAACTGTAAAAAGGGAAAACTAAACAGATCAACCTAGGCTGAAAGACAAGCACCACTGTGGAGCAGAAATTCAAAATGGGCAGAGAGCAGAAGCCTTAGGAGCATTCTGAGTCCCGCGAGCCGCCACCGAAGCTTTGGCTTGTTAGGGTAATAGAGTGTGAAACGCTCGAGAAGCCAGAGAGTTGGAGCCAGGCTCCTGCGTGAAGCCAGCCACGGGGGTGGCACTCTGCCGCGGGGGAAAACCGCAGGGGACCCTGCCTGGCGCTCTGACTTAGAGAAGGTGGTGGGTCCAGGCAGGGAGGACAAGGATTTGGCTTGCCCACCGAATGCTGAAGCCAGCCTCCTACTGGCTCCTTGACTGAAGCTGTGGTGTCTCCCATAGGTCCACAGGAAGGAGCCCTAAAATATCACTGTGAGGCCTGCTCCTGGACCGTGGGCCTGGAATCCTGCTGGAGGCCACGGTGACTCTGCTGGGAAGAGAGGCAGGAAAGCAGAGGGAAAACAGAACCTTCCCATTCCAAATGAGGCTGCAAACCAAGAATCCAGAAGCTGTGCTGAAATCCTAAAGGCAACAGATGCACCACGCACAGCGAGCAGAAAATGAAGTCGCTGCAGATGAGATGAATTTATAGAAAGATAAAAGACCTCATCTTTAAAATAAGTGTGTTTGGAATCCCCAGGCCAAGAATCTATATTTCTAAAAAGGGAAAGAAAAGAACAAAACCAGTAATATGGAAGTCTAAATAGCCTAAAACTTAAAATGCTATGAAAAAAACCCTGAATGGACAACAAAAGGAACACAGAGGAGGAAGCCATGAACCCAGAGAAAGTCAGAGTCTGCCTAACTACAGCTTCTGCTCCCTGGTACCCTGAAATTTTAACAGGCTGAAGGTGGAACTGGGGGCCAGGAGAGGCAGTCTGGACCCAGGAAAAGGGAAAGTTGATTTGGAGCCCACATAGAGCTCTGATGCCCAGTGGGACACACTCTCAGGGGAAGAGTGAACCGAAGGGGCAGAAGGCAAGGAAACCTGGCCATCTTGGGCTTCACACAAGGAAGGGGGATTGCAGGTAGGCCCCAGACTTTACCATCCAGGCCTCCTGCCAAAATCTGCTCTCTCTCTCTTGACTGAAGAGTTGTGCTGGGTTGATGACACCCTCAGGCTGCAGGAAGATGCAAATACAGCCTAAGCAAATGTTGGGAACTATTTTATACAGCAGAGTGACACTGCAAGTGAAAGGATGGGCCAGTTAGTAATAAGCAAGCTAGCCACAAGGGGAAAGAAACGAACGAGGCTGGGTTCCTACCTCACACCATTTACAAAATCAATACCAAGTGCTGGTTAAAGTGCCGGTGGGAAGTAATATCACAGCCAATCAGAAGCCCCAGGGGGTGTGAGGAGTCATAAGCAGTTGTGGGTGGCCGGGCCAGCTGCCCTCGGGATTCCTTCACCTGCCCTCCTCTCCTGAGCAGCAGGATTCAGGGATGCCAACCGGGAGATGGCCTGTTCCCAAAGCTGCTCCACTCCAAGAGTTTCAACCTGAAACCATGGTCACCTGGGGGGCAGTGTCAGCCAGAGGGAGTGCTTGAAGCTGTTTTGTGGACCCTGATGCTTTCTGCCCCTGGGGCTCATCTTGCCCTCTAGTTAAACTTCCTGGAACTAACACATTAGAAACTGGCCCTTTTCTTCTCTTAAAACACACGACCGGATGGAATAGTTGAAGTCCCTGTGTGTGGGGAAAGGAGCTCAGAGGCTAGCACAACTAGATATCTGAGTAGTTTAACTCCCTGAAAATAAGATAATAAATAGTACAACATATACCATTTGAAGCAGGGGAATCAGGACAAAGAAACCAGGAATTTAAAATAAGCATGGCATGGAGATAAGTGAAAATATTAGCAATATAAAAGAGGAACAAGAAATAATGAAAGTGGGTCAAGCAGGAATATTAGGAATGAAAAATATAAACACTGACATAAAAAACATAATAGGTGGGAAAAACAGCATGGATACACTTGAAGAATGAATTAACAAGATGTATAAACACAGATTAAATAGCTGGATTTTACTGATGCCATGGCAGTTTACTGATGGTCAGCCAGTCTAGCCACTGCTGTGAAAGGATTTTGTAGGGGTGATCAACATCTTACCAATTATTTGACTAAGCAAAGAAAATTACCCTCAATAATGTGGGTGGGTCCCAACTAATCAGCTGAAGGTCCTAAGAGCAAAAACTGACGCTTTCCAAAATGGAAAGAATTTGGACTCCAGACTACAATGTCAACTGTTGCCTGAGTTTTCAGCTTGTTGGCCTGCACTAGAGATTTCAGATTTGCCAGCTGTGGATAAAATGAAGGTTCCTGCGGCCAGGATTCTCACCTGGCCCTGGTTGGCTAGTTCACTACACACGTGTGGACAATGCATCGTTATTGACTCTATATAGAGAGCCCTGCCCAGTGCTCTGGGCGACACAGTGGCACTGCTGCAAGACTACAGGAGAGCAGAGTAGAGGCTGAAGTGGTGGCAGCACCAAGGACAGAGGCCCAGAGGCAGAGACTGGCTTGCTGCGTGCAGACTCACTCTGAGTGAACGAGATTTTAGTGACTGATCTGCCACCATGGAAATAAAGTTGGGTATAACCCTTTCACCCCAAGAACATTCTACTGTCATTTCTTTGGTCACAGTGAATCCATAATGAACTTGCCTGGGGCTGAAACCCATTGGCAAGACACCAGCTTCTACATTCACATGTACTAAGTCCTTAAAATAAATCCTATATATATATATGTGTGTATATATATATTTATGATTGGTTCTGTTTCTCTAAAGAACCTTGACTAATAAAAGTAGAAAGTAAAAATCCCACCACCAGAGATGTCCCTTTACTCTCCTGCTTTATGTTGAGTTTGTCATATTATTACTTCCATATACATTGAAAACCCCATCTGTGGGAGCTGCAGTATGTTTGGAAGGACTGAAATGGAGAGTTTGAGGATGCACAGGGTTAAGAGGCCAGAGAGGCCTGCTTTGTCTGTTTTCTCATGAGTACACTTACATTAAACAGTTGGACGTTAGTAATTTACAGTTGACATTATGCACTTCACAGTGCACCCTGCCGGGAGGGACACCATGCCAGGTTGTCCCACTGTGAGTCTGGCAGTTTGCTTAAAGTGGGGACCACCAGTCTCCCCATTATTGAAGTAGGTTTTCCCTTTGGAACTAATAAGTAACCTGTAGGTGACACTTAGCATGACTATAGTGTTTTCTAACTGCATTTAACCCAGTGGTTTTAATTTCTCTTGGAGATCCTTGCCTGACTCAATTAGGGATTACAAAGTGGTGATTTTCTACTTTTATTCTATATTTATTAGCAAGGCAGTTATCTGGTGTTTTGTTTTTAACAGCATAGTAGTAGGCTTTGGACGGTTGGATTAGAAATACAGCCTATTAGAATCCTAAAAGGTAAGTGGAAGGGACCTGGGACCATCCATCAAAGAGGTTCTGGTCCAACCCTCTCATTTCCAGAGATAGGAAGGGATTTGCTCCAAGGCTCCCAACATGAGCTTTGTAATGTCCCAGAGGAGCTTTCTGGTGCACAGAAAAGACTTCTACAATTACTTGGATTTTAAGTTTAAATGATTTGCCCAAACTTTCCCGAGCTGAGTGGTGCTTAATGGGGCAAGTCCTTTAGAATTACCTGGTGTTCGTTTTCAGCAGGGCTGTGCTTCCCCTTCCCACAGCTTCTGACTCATCAGGTCCTGGGGTGACATCTAGATTTTGAAAAAGTACAGATGATTCTTGTTTTGTTTCTTCTTGAGATTTCACTTTGATTTTTTATTTTAAAAATTGCACAAGTAATTAACAATGAGTATATTCTTGTGCAGAACCATCTGGAAAACCACCTTCACACCACCCCTTATGCCCATCACACTCCTTGAAAATACCCATGGTTTGATAAGCCACCTTCCAGTCGGCTGTCTATGAATTTACTCACTTTATGTGCATGGACATGTATCTATTTTTTAAATTAATAGGATTATAGATGTGTGTTGTTCCATATCGGCTTTTTTCACTTAATGATGTGTTTTGAAAGTCTTTGCATGTTGCTATATATAGATCTCTCTAATTCTGGTTAACAGGCTGTGAACTATTTCACTGTACAGAAATATCACTGAAGACAACTAGAATATGTCACCCCAAAATATGCCTCTTTGACATAAGAATTATTTTGAGCTGAAGGCAACTGAGAAGTAGCAAATGTAGGAAAAGCTGTCTTCCCCTCCCTCTTTCTAGGGTCTAAATTGGCCTTTACTAGAGATGCCCCTAGACTTCTATCAGCTCAGAGAGAGGTCCAAAGGACTCTGGGCACAAATTGAGATATATTTACTTCCCCCCAGTTTGCCACCCTTGGAAACCTAAAACCATTTATCTTGTCCTGTCATTTCTCCACAAATGTGTTATTCTTTGTTGAAGATGCTAGGTAGCCCATGTTTTAGCCCCCCTTAGGTACTCACACCCAGGTTGCCCCCATGTGTATCTATGTGATATACATGCTGATCAGCTTTGATTTGCTTTTTCTTGTTAATCTGTCTTTCGGTATAAAGCCCAAGCCCAGAACCTAGAAGGGTAGCAGGAAAAAAAGATTTTTCTTTCCCTACAATTATTATGGTAATAATAATAAAAATGATTATTCTTTGTGTACCTCAAGGGCAAACAGCTGAGTTAATTGGTTTCCTCAGTAGAAAACACATGACAATCTCCGGACCGGGTCAAGCACCCTCTTGTCTCCTTTTCTTTCTTCCCGTCTCCCCTGACCCTCATTCCCAGACTCCCCTTCACAGTAGTTCCTGAAGCGGAGGTTCTCAAACTTTGGTGTGCACCAGGCTCACAGGAAAGCCAAGAAAACATGGAGGCCTAGCTTTGCTGACAGGTAGGAACTGGACCGCTGTGTTCCTACCTTGTTCCCTCCCTGGTTCTACCTGATGCTCAAATGTAATCTATATGGATCTCTCTGAAAGTGTAAATTAACTATGTATTATGTGTGGATAAAGTGAAGGTTCCTATGGCCAGAATTCTCAACTGGCCCTGGTTGGCTCGCTCACTACACACGTGTGGGCAATGTGTTGCTATTGACTATAAAGAGCTTCGCCCAGTGCTCTAGGCATTAGGGTGATGGCTGCACAGCTGCAGGAGAGCAGAGGCTGGAGTGGTGGCAGCGCGGAGAGGCTGAGACAGCTGAGACAGCTGTGCCGGCAGAGAGGTCCAGAGGCAGAGACGGGCTTGCTGTATGCAGACTCACTGAGTGCACAGGATTCTAGTGACTGACTTGTCACTGTGGGAATAAAGTTGGGTATAAACCCCTTCCACCTCAAAAACGTTCCATTGTCATTTTTTCGGTCTCATTGCATCCACAGTGAACTTGCCTGGGGCTAAAATCCATTGGCAAGACAGTATGCATCTGTGTGTTTTAAATAGCATTATTGGCACAGGCTATAAATATCACTGTTTCTTCTCTTTTACGACTCAACACTATGGCATAAAGGCTTACCCACGTCACAGTAGGGACACCTAACTTGTTGGTTCCCACTGGTGCCCAGCTTCCCGCCATGGGCATCCCCACATCTTACTTATCCGGCCCCGTGGTGATGGACACCAGGGCACCTCAACTCCTGCTTTACTTCCACTGTTGTCATTTGCTCCAAGAACCGGGATGTTAAGGGTTTATGTACCCACTTGACAAGGGGATAGGGAACAGGGAGAAAGGGCTCTTATGAAGAAGAAATTGAAGGTGTGACAGTTTCCGGTAGTTTATTTAGGCCATTGGTCAGGTCATGATGGTTAGTCTCCTCTCTGACTGTGAACTGCCCAGGTTAGGGATTTCCGACGGCAGGAGGTCCTGCCTGAGGCAACAGAGAAGTTCAGCGACGGTCCCCCCACCCTGGCATCCCCCTGGCAACCGTTCTTTGTTTTTAGCTTTAAGTAATCTTAAGTGCGTCTTGGATCCCTACATCTGTATGTTACACAACCCCCAAAAATTTACTCTCTGGCCTTTTACAGAAAGCAGAAAGCATTTGTGGACCCCTGGCTGAGAGCCTGGACTTTTGACCCAAACTACACGGGCTTGAATCTGCTCTCATCACTTTCAAGTGTACTTTTCCGGGGTTGTTTTCCCAATGAGCGTATGGATGGGACCAAACACATAGAGTTGTGGGATTAGATGGGTTAGTTTTTACAAACAGAGGAGTGCCTGGCACCTTGTCAGTGTTGCAGTAGGTAGACAGCCGGACTTGAGCAGGGAGGGGGTTGGGGACTTTGTCTGGCATTTACATTCAGTTAGATGCTTGTTTATGTTCTAAACATTCCTTGTCAACTGTTGTGTCCCGATATGCGGAGGGAGGATATAGATAACAGACCAGCTGAAACTGGCTGGTTCCAAAGTGGAGAGGATGACCCTGACTTCACCCCCAAATACCTTATATGCTCATTAGCATACTAAAGTCACACCTCTTGACGCCTGGCCGGTCCAAGGCAAACCATCTAAGGACAAAAAGAGGGTGTCACCCTACTTCTTGGAAATCTCCATATTCTAAGAAAACCCTTCCTATCCTGATGAATATTTTACATCCTCCCACCCCAACACACACCGGCTTAAACTCCAGATCTAAGACCACCCCACCCAGCCCCACCATGCCGCCCGTCTCTGGAGCAGCCCGCACTCCCTTCCTGAGTGTGTGCTTCTCCCTTTTGAAGCTTCTCTGCTGGCACCTGCTCAACCTGCTCTTTAATTCTTTCTCCATCAGAGTCAAGTGTCTGCTCCTGGGTGGAGATCTCATCTAGCATGCGGGCAGCTCTCCCCAGATTGGACTGCCTGACAACATAAATACTCTGCAAGTTTTAATTAATGCCCATATCCTTCGCTAAAAGCAATCCTTAATTTTGATGTAGCTGAATATAATCACTGTTCCCTTATGATTTGTTTCTGGGGCCTCATGTAAGAAGCCTTTCTTAATCCATAGGTCACAAAGATTTTCTCCCATATTTTAAAAATTATCTTCATAGTCTTAAATTTCTTTAACCTACCTAGAATCCATTTCATATATGGCATTTGTAGACGATGCAATTTTTTTCCGCAGCAAGGGTCTGCTCTCCCCACAACTTAATCACCGTATCATTGTATCTGTGCCCCAAGGCCTTGTAGTTCTGCGATCAAGGATCAGATCCCAGTGTGCACAGAGATCTGCTTCTGTGTTCTAGTTTTACTTCCTTTGGTCTATTTGTCTTGTTAAAAAAGAAAAAACAAGTCCAAAGTAGAGTTATTTGGTCCCTGCAGCAAACCAAGACTCAGTTACAGCTTCAACCTATTCCAGGAATGTGACCTTTTAACAGTACATCAGGAATTTTATGGTCAGCACCAGCGAGGTATTGTCACACACACGGGGCCTCTCTGCCCAGCCTCCCTCTTCCCCCAAAAGAAGATGGGGTCCTCTGATAAGACCCCCAGCTGTTGCCCCAAAAGGGAAAGTGACCCCAAGTACCACAATCCCTTCTTTCATTTTGCTAATAACTGCTCGCCACACCTTCTGCCTGTGAAAGCCTTCTATCTGCTGTACAACTCCTAGCATCTGTCTACTTGCTGGGTTGCTACCCTTAATGATTGGTTTAATCAGGTCATTTAGGTCTTCATATTTACTCGGTTGAATTTTGTTTTTCACAGTGGAATGTCTCAATATCAGAAAAAGTGAGCCATGATTTCATTACCTCTGATTGATGTGCATTTATTATTTTTCAGGAGATTCTGTGTCCAAGAACCACACTGGAGTCCCCTCAGGCCCCCAAGACCTACCCCAGCACAAGTCACTCAGCCTGGGTGCCTGTAGGGCAGGCCCAGAGGGCAGGCCCAGGAAACCTCACTTCAGGGGAGCACTGTCTCCTGCAAGTCTCACCTCATCCCCTCTTCTACCCCCAGCCCCCTCCCACTGTAGAAAAAAATGGAAGTGCTCAGGGCCAGGATTCTCAGCTGACCCTGGTTGGCTTGCTCACTACACACGTGTGGGCAGTACATTGTTACTGACTCTATATAAAGAGCTCTGCTAGTGCGCTAGAAAGCAGAGGCTGGAGTGGTGGCAATGCCTAGGACAGAGCCTGAGATGGCTGTGGGGGCAGAGACAGGCTTGCTGCAGGCAGACTTCCTCTGGAGTGAATGGGATTCTAGTGATTGACCTGTCACTGTGGGAATTAAGTTGGGTATAAGCCCTTTCACCCCAAGAATATTCCATTGTCATTTTTCAGTCTCACCGGATCAAGAGTGAAATTGCCCACGGCTGAAACCCATTGGCAAGACCCCCACTTTCCTCCAGATGTCTTGAATGAACACCAAATGGATTCAGCTCCAAATCCCCAACCCTCTAGGGCACGGACCCTGGCACATTACAACTCTGCAAAAGACTGGTTGGATGGGTAAATGTTGGAACCTACCAACTCAATCCTCATACTGAATTCTTTAGTCTAGTGGGTTTTGGGTTACACTTTGGAAGCCCCTGGAGAGCTTCCAAAATGCTTAATGCTTGGGTCTTATCCCCAGAAATTGCAATCAGTTTTGAGATTCAGCCTGGGAGTCAGAATTTCCAAAATCTCCCTGGGTGGTACAGCCAGTGCTAAAGAATCTCTGCTTTACTCTCCCTGAAACCCCTCTCAACATTTGCTAGCTGTGAGACCCTCAGCCTCTGTGAGCCTCAGTAATCTGGGCTGTAACATGGGGATAATTAATAAGATGGAGTTAGGGCCTTGCTACTTAAAGCAGGCTCCGTGGACCAGCAGCCTGGCCACCCCTGGCCTCCTGAATCAGACCCACATTCTGAAGGAGCAGGACTGAACAAGAGGAACTCCATTTTGGAATGAGCCTCCATCTAGGGACATACTGGAACATATTGAAACCTAACAAACTAACTTGAAAACGTGTTCTTAGAACAGCACCTGATCAAGTACAAGTTTTAGGTCACTTGACCTGTGACAGTTTATTATTAACATTCTTTTTTTTCTGAAAGCCTCTATTCTAGGGCATGAAAAGAAACCTTTTGAGTTATAGACTGTGAGATTATAAACTGACGTCTGTTAAACGTCAAAGTACTGCCTCACCCGGAGAAATATTGGCATGAAATCTTCCAGAAAGATTAATTATTGTAGTGCCTCCAAATGCCTGGGGCTTTCAAAGCCTGCCTTTATAAACCGCACACCACCCCCTTTCCAGGGGGTCTGACTTCTCTCTTTGTTAGCTCCCTTGTTTACAAGCTATTCCTAATAAACTCTGCCTGCTTGCTTTCCAGTTCAGTGTTCCTTTCTCTAACACTGAAAATCAAGGACGTGGTCTTTGGGGGACCCAGTAACCACTGTAACAAGCTGCCTGGTGATTTGTTTGCATATTAAAGTTTGAGAAGCACTGTTTTAGGAGATTTTGAAGATTGGGATAATGAATATTATAATTACATAATGAATTTTATGTAATGACTATAACAGAATCTGGTGTACAGCAGGCACTCCTTATGTATTTGTTCCTTATGTATATGAATGAATTCCCTCTTTACACCTGAGGGAACAAGGGCTCAGATTACTAGTAGGTCAGATGGCTATTGTGGTCAAACCAGTAAACCACTGGGGGCACTGGCCATGGTGTTTGGGGGGAGGGCAAAAATGTCAGGTTCCCAGTGACTTGAAGGCCAGGACACTGAATTGCACCTTTGGATGTTCTGGGAAGAGGGCTTCTCCTCACCTTCATATTCGCTCAGGGAAGAGAAATGCATTTTGGTTAGAGAGACCCAGGAGGTCCAAGCCCGTGGCTCCATTGACAATACTTACATATCCCCCAAACCAAACAGGCTCACCCTTTCGGTCATCCACAGATATTTAGGAAACCCACCTGTGTGCTTGGTGCTGGGCAAAATGGAGATGGCATCATCCCTGAAGAAGCAGACAAGGACAACTTAAAATCCAGGAATAAGGTCTGAGGAGAGGAGGGAGACCAATTTGTAAGATCAGGCGATTGGTGAAGGCTCTGGACAAGGTAACATATACGGTAAAATCTGAAGAGTGGGAGGAAAAGGTAAAGATTTTGGAATAAGCAAAAGGGATCACCAGCTATCCTTTCTATTAATATTCTGGAGCCTCCGGGAGTATACAGTTTTGTGTAGTTTAAAGGTTCTTGTCCTTAAACTCTTTTACAGCTCTTTCCTTTTGTACATAAAGGATAATTATGCAAATAATCCTTATCTATACAGGTGCAAACAAATCTGGTCCAGTGGAAGGACACCTTGCCCCACAGTGGAAAAAGACAGTTTTACATTCATTTGTAAATTCATTTCAACATTTCTTTACACCATATAAATATGTGGTTCTCTGTCTTCTCCTTTGAACCAGTTGTGGCATCTGCCTGGTTCCCTCATTAATTAATGAGCTAAATAAAATCTTTGACATCTGTCCATTTTACATCTGTGAGAGTTGTGATTTGTCATCTTTTAAAATTTATACTTTAAGAAGAATAAGCAGAAGTTAGCCCATGTTCCAGGCAGGTAGAGGTGCAGCTGAAAGGCCCTGCTGCAGGGGAGCTGCATGTAGACTGGGGGAGGTCAGTGTTAGGAGGGCCCTGGGGGCCAAGGGACATGCTTGGCCACCTTGCAGTCCCTGTGGGCTTCAAACTAAGGGAAGCCACTGGAGGGTCTTGATCAGGGGAATAACATGGTCTGATTCAGTGTACGATTTACCCAGCTGCTGGGTGGAGAGTGGAGCTCAGGGGCAGGCAGGGCACCAAGAGGATGTACCTAGAGGCAGATGCTGACTGCTGCCTGGACTTGCGGGGCTGCTTGTATCTGCCAAATAGCAAACAAATGATAACAGAACAGGTGCAGGAAAAGTCTCAAAGGGACATTGGCATCTGATTTTATTCACTGCATATATGCTCTAGGCCTGGGGACACAGAGCCCATGTTCTTGACACCTCCGTGCTAGTCGAGGGAGAGAAAGAGGTGCCAGAGAATTTGGGAAGAGCTCATTCTGGTCAGGGATGGGAAAGCTAGTGATCCACAGCATGAGCTCTGCTATGTGACCTCAGGAAGTTACTTAATTCTTCTGAGATGATATAAAATGAAGACGATAAAAGAGGGCTTTCCTCAAAGGGTTGATTGGATGATTGATGAGACTGATGACATAAAAGATCGGTCTGTCCTAGAATGGCAGCTGATATTATTTCCCAAGTAATAATAAATGCCCTGGGCACATAAAAATCATTGCAATAATATAAAGAATACCAATCTGCATTGGTATAATGTTTAAAATTTTCAGGGGGTCTTAGGTACAGAGTCGCAATACAACATAAAGCTCTGTACTAGTTTCCTCCGGCTGCTGAAACAAATTACTAAAGCTTGGTGGCTTAAAACAAGAGCGATATACTCTGTCACAGTTCTGGGGAAGTCTGAAATGAAAGTGTCAGAGGGTCGGTTCCTTCTGGAGGCTCTGAGGGAGGAACTGCTCTGTGTCTCTCTCCTAGTGGCTGGGGGCCACTGGCAATCCTGCATGTTCCTCAGCTCATTTGTGTCTCTCTTTGATGACCTTCTCCTCTATTTCTCCTCTCCTTAGAAGAGAAGGACACTTGTCATTGGGGTTAGGGCCCATTCTAACCAGGATCATCCAATCTCAAGACCCTCAAGGCCTGGAATTATTTGCAAAGACCTTTTTCCAAATACATTCACAGGTTCTAGGTGGACTATATTTCGGGGACCACCTTTCCTCAATCCACTACAAGATCAGTATTAACTTTTCTCATGCAGCGAACCAGTTTTTCTACCCCCCACTAGTTTGTGATGTCACCTTTTTCATGTACCAAGTTTCCATGTACAGCCAGCCCATGTCTGGGCTCTGCGTGTCATTCCACTTGTCTGCCTGTTTTTTTCTGCTGCTACCATATTGTTTTTACTACTGTGCTTCTGAAATATGTCTTAATATTTGGCAGAGCAAGTCCCTCCCTTGGCTCCATTTCAAACTCAGTTTCAAGGACGTTGATTTTCCATATACATCTTAGAATCAGTTTTGGAGTCCCCCCAACTTTTGGGTGAAATCCTAATGACTTTATAGATTATTTTTTAGACAACCAACATTTCTAGACATTAGGTTAGTCGACCCATGAATTGACTGTGTCCCTCCATTTATCCAGGTCTTCTCTCCATGTCCTTTAATAGACTCTGAAAGTGTTCCAGGGAGGTCTTGTGCACTGTTAGGGTGATTAAAGAGCGATGAGCACCCTGCAATTTACAGGTGACACATTTTTACATAGCGCCTCTCCCTGGAGTCCTATTATCTGTATTTTATAGAAAAGGAAACTAACACTGAGAAAGGTGAAGGGACCTCCCTATACAGTAGTGACAGAGCTGAGACCAGTCCCCTAGCCCAGCTCCTATATGCATGTGGCTTACGTGCTGGCTATCACCCACTTAGTGCCCCCCCAGTCTAGGTGGGCAGATCTGATGCCATTCAGTCTCTGACAAAGCAAGCCAGGGGCATACCAGCATCTGACTCGCACTCCATCATTTATTTTAAGATCTGCAGGAAGAAAGACGTGGCATAGATACACAGAATAATGATGAGTACACAGGTGGCCTTGACTTGCTATGCAAGGCCTGCTTGGATGAATATCTGAAAGCCATCTTGCTTGTCCTACTGTTCTGGAACCTGGTGCAAACAGGCTCCTTGGTGGCCCCAAAGCTGCAGCCTCCTTGCTCGCTGGCGTCCTTGTTCCCAACCACTAGGCACAGGCTGATGGAAGCTGATGTGAGCCTGCTCAGGGTGGCCGAGTGAGGCCCAGGGAAACGCTGGCTAAAAGGGATGGTGGTGGCTGGAAGGATGGTGGTGACTGCATCCAGGTCTTTGGAGGCTGCGCAGCACAGCCTGGCCCACTCCAGCAGCCTCAGGCTGCTGCCCTGCAAGGCCTGGGCCACCCATCTCATTGCCACCCACAGCCTGTCCAGGTAGCGCGCCAGCATGGACACAGCCACTTGCTGCGCCACGGCCCCCAGCAGCAGCTCTGAGACCCTGCTATTCTCTTGGTGGAATTCAAGCAGGCTGTTGTAGGCCCAGTGGGCCACAGACACCAGGGCTAGGCTGGCCTCCCACCACAACTGCTGCAGGAGCTGCCGGGTGCAGCACTGGGCTCTTGGATCAGGACGCCAAGCAGCCAAAGACTCCAGCTCCACGTGATGGCCAGCTGCTGCCATGAGGCCCGCTGGATGGGCAGCAGCACCTGTACACACAGCTTCTGGGCCAGGATGAGGGCGGGCCACCTGCCCACCTGCAGGAGCCTGCAACACAGGAAACAGAGGCCCAGCATGCAGACCAAGAGGCAGTGGGAGGCCATATTTGCTGTGGCTGCCTGCAGCCCCAGCAGGGGTGCATAAGATGTCACCAGGCCCAGGCTGGACAGGAGCGGGAGCAGGAGCTGCCAGGCACCCCCGGTCACTCGGCTCCCATTCTGTGGGGCATCACCCTGGCAGCAGGTGGTGGAGGAATCAGGAAGGATGGCCTTCAAGACCCAGAGGCCCTGTGCCCAGGCTCCAGCCCTGGGGGCATGGGGTTGCACTCCGACCACAAGCTCATGTTGACTGACCCTCTGGTCCACCTGACCTGTCATCTGGGCCAGCTCATTTTGCAATAATCAATGACAGCACAAAAGATCAGGATGTGAGCTCGCATCAAAGAGGGAGCATTATTGCTTCGATGGGCAAGGGAGGCAGCCTTTGGAAGTGAAACTGTGATGTCCTAGTTTGGGTCCTCTGTGTTAATGCCCTCATCTGATAAATATGACTTGGGCTGAGCATGTGGAAGCAGGACATGTCTCTGCAGACACAAAGCTTCCTGTCTGATAAGGCAGATGGGCATCGGAACACCCTCGTGCCAAATCCGCCTCACTCCACATTTCTCTTGCCCTCCTACTTCCCAATTCTGCTCCTCCCTAGGTCTTCCTAACCGTCTGCTGTGGTTAGTCCACACCTGGTTGGCAGCAGAGACTATTTGCCGTAGAGGTATTTGGTCAAAACTTGGGATCCTTTTCTGCTCCTTCCTAGAGATTTCATTTTGAAAAACAGTATTGATGGAGGATCGTTCATAAATAAAGTCAATTCCTTTCCAGACTCTGAATTTATCTTTGGGGTAAACCAGCATCCAGGATCAGGTAACCTAATGCTGGTAACCTTCTTGTTTTGGCCTCTTGTAAATGACTCATACAGATCAGATTTGCATGGTGCCATGAGTTCATTGGTCTGCAGTGAGTGTGCACAGCTACTGTGTGTGTTCACTATGGGATGATGTTCAGGGCGTTATTGGCTGCATCCCACTCTGGCCCCTTTACGAGGGCCCCATCTCCCCAGAGAAATTTCTTTCAGACCGTATTTCAGGCGCAGCGGACTCCTGGTCATATCCATATTGTGAATCATGTTACTAAGTTTACTTATGTTTTTCATTTGGCTGCAGAGAGGCTTGGAACCAAGTGGAGGACTACTCTGGCACAAGCATGGTTCTATAATACATGTTTTGTGTGTGATCTCCCCCTGGCTTCATCCTTATTTCCCTTCCCTCACTTCCTTCTTTTCTTGTTCAGTTGCGCACATTTGGGTATGTAGCCTAAGACACGTTCTTGGAAGGAGAAAGGATACAGTTAACCTCATAAATGAATCCAAATCTACATATACAAATTAATCTATCCCTTCTAAAAGTAACACTATTTACTCAATATTCCGAAGTGGATATCCTGACTCCTGCTCGTATGGCTTCCTGCTCTGCCCTCGCCCTCAACAGCTCAAAACAAATGGTCTTCAGATCCTGTCCGTCCTAAATAGCTTCCTGTTCTGCTCCTTTATGTCCACCTTCAGTGCCCCTTCCGGGTCACCCACTGTGACAGCTTGCACGGAGTAGTGAAAAGCCCTTCCACTTTACGCCTACCTTCCTGCTGCCCTCCTACCATCCCGCTGGTCCCTTAGTGTCAATCCTCTAAAATGCACAGGTGCTTAAACACCTTCACTACTTTCCATTGCCCTCGGATGGAGTTCCAACCTCTTAAGACTCAGGTTGGGATTTTAACTCTACCTATCTTCCTAAACTTGTCTTCCTAAACCTGTGTCCCTTACTCTCTGGCCACACCAAATCACAGGTAGTCCTTGAGCAGATCTCTTATATTCTGAACCTTTGTACACATTGTTCCCTCTGCCTGGTAAGTCACCCTTTCTGCCTGACAGACAAAAGTCCTTTGAGGCCCAGTTCCAATAACATCTCTTCAGCAGAGGACCACAGTTTGGGGGGAATTGATCAGTTCTCTCCTTGTGTTGTAGTTTGCACAGGTCCATTCCTGTTATGCTGTAGGCCTCACTTCGGTGTTGCAGAGCCCTGCACAGGGCTAGGCAGGGCAGCCTCAGCACACGTTGAACAAATGAATGAATGCATGAATCCCTCATTCGACAGGTGGGGAAACTGAGGCCCAAGGCCATAACCCAGTGAGGTATATGCACAACTGAAATGACAGAGCAGGTCAATCGATGCTCTTTTCTCTTGATTATAAAGAGGGAATTCTTTTTGGTGAGAATAGTTTGCCCAGGACCTTCAGTGACATTGTTAAATCTTTTTGAATCCTCTTTCCCACGTTAAATAGTCCTGTTTAGTGAGTGATGGTAGCCGTCTTGTTCCTCTGTATTCCTGCAGCCTGGCATGGTACCTGGCACAGACAGGACTTCAGGAAGAATTTATTGAATGAATGAGAGACTTGGGATCTCAGAGTTTTGTCCAGTGATGGGGTTACTAAACCCCAAGTCTGATACTGTAAAACCAGTCAGACTTGAGCTCTGTCCTTCATTGTGTGACTTTTGTCAAAGTATTTCCTCTTGGCCTGAAAAGTAGTTTTTGCTGTAAGAGGGGGCAATATGGGTCATAATTCATTGTTTACAATTCTGAAATAAAAAACTTCTAAAGTCATTTGGTGACAAGAACCAAACATGAATTTTTAGGCAGCAAAGTCAGTCAGTCTTGAGCTGATGTGAGGGCTGTTTATATTTATCCCATTCTATATGAATATTCATGTTTCTTTACAGAATTAATTAAAGTCTTCATTAAAGAGTTTGGGGAGGATTACATAACATACAGTATGCGCACCATATTGCATATTATCTAAAACATGAAAAATGCTGAATTTGGAAACACATCTGGCCCCAAAGATTTCCAATGAGCGACTGGAGACCTATCAGCATGGCCCCTCAGGGCTGGCGTGAGGACTAGAGAATGTTTTTTAACAATTGTGCGAGCAAAGGCCAGGCCCAGAATCAAAGAACATGACCTGGGTAGGATGGCGCTGGAAGGTGACGTGTGAGTGTGTGTGCCCTCCGGCAGCGAGGAGGCTGGAGTGCAGCCGGGTAGGGCACAGCTTTAGGGGGCAGCCTCAGGAGTGGAATCTGCATCTTCAGGCAGCAATGGGGAGCACAGGAAGTAACAAGATGAGATTTTATTCTTTTAAAAAATTGGAGGGGTAAACCTGGAGGCAGGGAGAACAAGTAGGAGCCTCCTGAGTCACAGAGGAGCCCAAGCAGAGATCAGCCGGGGCTCTTGCAAGGGAGGGTCTTAAAAGTCAGGAGGGCCAGCCTCCGTGAGGCTGGTCAGCTGGACCGGCGACCCCAGATCATGGGGTAGTTTTGCCTCTGACGCAAGCACAGGCCACTGCAGCTGGATGCTGGGAAACCCAGGGTTTCAGCTTTTTCTCTCCAATTTAGAGCAGGTACAAGCAGTGCAACCCCAAAATGGCAGTACAGTGCTGATCTACTGGATGGGATGGAACTGGGATACCAAGTATGAAAGCGCTGTGGAGCTGAAACCACAGCAGAGTTATTCAATGCCAGAGGTAACTGCATTTCATATGAAAAGCAGCCTTGAGAAATACTCTCACTGGTCCGAACTCAGTAAGTGGACACTGAGACAAAGAGAACAGTGCAGCGAGCCTATTTAATGGCAGTCTTGCAGGATCAGGCGTCTGGTGAGCAGGCCCATTTAGCGTGGTTACAACAGACAATTTATTCCTTAGCATGTGACTCCCTCTCCTGGTTCCTCATTGGCTGAGTACTACAGGGTTCGCATTCTCACCTGGATGTCACCTAAGCAAGTTATATCATATTAGGCTTTCTTTACATTTGTCTTAACTTTATTGGGTGGTTCAAAACTTTCCCCACTGCTCCTGAATATGCACAGCCTTCTCACATTCCTTCCCCCTCCGAGCCTGAGCAACTTCCAGGCATGTATGTCACCACATGGGCTTTTTGTCAATACCTAATACCTTGTGTTTAAACCCCCTGGTGGGTGGGAATAAATCACGTTTAGGTTTTAGGCTTTTTCTAGCAGTTCCCCCTCTTATTTAAGAATTTCTGATTCCCAGTAATATACTTCAACTCATGCCCGGTTCTTTTTCAAACTTTTCTAATATATTTTTGCTCTCTTATTCGTTGTCAAATTTATCTTCCAACATGTAAGATTAGGTGCATGTCATAGGTATTTGTTTGTTTACGGCTGCCTTTATAGGCCTCTGGGTCAGGCCTCTCACACAAGGGATGATACAGCATCCTATAGCAGTTAAAATTCCTCAACTATAACAAGAGATGTTAAAACAGAAGCAACCATACCTTTCTGTTTTCCAAACCATCCTTCTAACCAGTCTGTACAGTAACTAGTTTAGGGTGATTAAGGGAAGGTTCTGGTTCACTATCTACCTCAGGATTGGGGGTGGTGGTCACTATGGGTAAAATCTTGTCTTTGATTAAATTAAGACCAAACCTTCCCAAGGGATCTATTCCAGTAACATCGGCACCAAGTCCGTAAACACGAGGAGCAATTACAGGGTCCGAGTCTAAATCTTGAGGGTTATTTATAGTTAACAAGAGGGGGTTACATTGTTTGTCCTGGCAATTTGCAGGAGGAATGCCTTTAGCCAAGTGGAGCTTTCCTTTCAAAGGTTTCCCTGTCGCATGAGGGGCTGTCCACCCTTGAAACTGGGTAGTCCACCAAACATTGCTCCAGCCTGGACACGGGGGCCCGTTTGCTTTTTTTGGTCCACTAACACTCGTCCATTCAGGACAGAGATACTTATTGTCTCCAGAAAGCTGTCTTTGGTTATTTAGGTCACCACAAGAGAGAACCTGACAAGCATCAAACCTGATGGTTTGGGGGCCTGATGGTTTTGTAATATTGATCACCAGTTTGACAGGATAACCAGGAGTTCCTTCCCATTCTAGGCTTCCCTGAGAGATGCCTGTAAAATATAGAGTTAGAAGCATAAAGATTAACATTTTAGATCCTTTTCAGTTTTAGCCTCAAGGGGTGGTCAGCCACTTGGGACACCTTCCAGTTCTCCGTTTTGCCCCCAGATCCCTCAGTCAATTTCTTGATTCTGGTGTAGTGAGTCCAGCCCTCTTCCACCGTCCGCACTGCAGTCTCCGTGGTCAGGAACACTTGGTAGGGGCCTTCCCAGCTGGGCTGCAGTCGGTCTTCTTTCCAGGACTTTGCTAACACCAGGTCTCCAGGCTGGAAGCAGTGGGTAAAGAACTCAAGTGGGGGAGTCTGGGCGAGGAGTCCTTTCAGCCTGAGAGAAGATAAGGTAGAAAACATGGCCAGCAACATACTCCCTTAGAAACCTATCTTTTGTTTCTATGGTGGGCAAGTCCGTTGCCCTTCCTGGATATGACAACCCATTATATCAATCCTAAGGGGGAATTCCTAAATCCTTTCAGGGAGAAGTTCTAATCCTGAGTGCTATAGGAAGACATTTAGTCCAAGGCAATTTGGTTTCTAGTATTAATTTGGTTAAATGTTTCTTGAGAGTCTGATTCATTTTTCCTACCTTTCCAGAGAATGGTGGATGCCAAGGAGTATGGAAATCCCATTGCACTTGGACTGCCATCATTATTCCTTGCAATACTTTCAAGGTAAAATGACTCCTATTGTCAGTCTGAATCAACATTTTCTATTAACCCAAACCTAGGAATCACTTGCTCTAAAAGTACTTTTATTACTGATCCTGCCATTACAGTTGTTAAAGGGTAAGCCTCTACCCAGCCAGTGAGATGGTCGACAATCACTAATAAATATTTAAGCTTTCCCCCTTTTGGCATCTCAGTGAAATCAATCTAGATACTCTGGAATAGTCTTAGTCCTGGGAGTCTCCCTTTAGGTATTGGCTTTCTTGTACTCTTTTTGTTAATTCTTTGGCACATTGTCCAACTCCTACAAACCTGTTTAGCAATAGTGTAAATACTAGCACACCCATTAACCTTTAGCAAAGCGTCACACATTGCACACATCGCCTGGGGACCCCAGTGGCTCCCTCTGTGTAACATGTTCGTCACCTCTCTCATAATAGGTCGGCTGATCATTTCTCTCCCATCTGGTAAAGTCCACTGCCCTTTCTCATCTCGAGACACCCCAGTCTGTAGCTCTTTAATTTCATTTGGAAAACTTTGGGATTAAGGTAATTTTAGGGATATCAGGAGTGAGATTCAAAAGTCTAATTTCATCTTCAGATATAGTCTCTTTAGCAGCTGCATCAGGATTCTATGCCCTGTTGCTTCATAAGAATTTCCTTTCTGGTGACCATTCACATGTGTTACAGATATTTCAGCTGGAAGTAAGAGATTCTCCACAACCTCCATGATTAATTTGCCAGGAATTAATTCCTTTCCTTTACTGTTCATGAGAACTCTTTCTGTCCAATTTTTCCCAAAGCTATGGGCCACTCTGAAGGCATATTTGGAGTCTGTGTAAACTGTGCCCTCCTTATCTTAGTTTTAAGTCCTGATTAAGGGCAAACAACTCGGAGGTTTGGGCTGACCACTCATTGGGTAATCTCCCCTTTTCGCATGTAGGTAATTGGTCTCCATCAATGATGGCACTCCCATTATGTCATCTGTCCTCTACCATCCGGGAGGACCCATCTATAAATAGTTTCATACCCCGACCTAGGCCTGACGTTAGTCTGATATTCTAGGAGGTCCATGCAATAGTGACTCAAGTCTGTTTGGTCTTCAGCCTTGCCTGCACGTAGGAAGCTGGTGGGATCAAGACAGGCACCTGTGATTAAGGTCAGGTCATCTTTTCAAGTCGAATGGCTTCTATTTTAAAACTTGAGAATCTGTTAGCCTGCACCCAGCCTGCTGATTAGGTATAGCTGGAACCTGGCGAGGAGTACTAACTATCAGGGTTCCTCCAAAAGTTAATTTTCTGTTCTCTTCTACCAGTAAGGCTGTGGCTGTGATGGCCTGAGTGTTCAGGCCATCCTCGAGAGACAGGGTCCAATAGTTTAGACATAAAGGCCACTGGTTGTTTCTTTCCTCCCCAGTTTGGGTCAAAACCCCTATAGCGGAGGCTTGTTCTACAGTAATAAACAAGTGAAAAGGCTTCTCTAAAAACAGGAGTGCCAGGACTGGGACGGTGACTGAAGATTGCTTTAATTCCTCTAGAATTTGAAGTTCCCCTGGGGTCCACTGGAAAGGATCTGGCTCACCTCAAACAATTCGAAGTACAAACTTCTAGTCTTTTGGGCATAAGAGCCAACCCATAGTCTACAATATCCCACTGGTCCCCCAAATTTTCTAAGTTCCCTCTTTGTCTTAGGCTTGGGGAAATTTATGATTCCAGCAATTCTTCCTGGATTGATTCTTCATTTCCCTTCACTTAATAAGATGACCTAAACATTTAACTTCCTTTTCTACAAATTGAAGTTTGTTTCCAGAGACTCTATATATACCCCTTTTGTTCCAGGAAGTTAAGCAAGTCTGTAGTAGTTTTAGACACTCTGGTCTTTTCTTTCCCTGAGATTAACAAGTCATCTACATATTGCAGAAGTTGTGTTCCTTGCACAGGTTCAGACTCCTCTAAGATGGATTCTAAAATTTGACGGAGCAAGTTGGGGGCCTCCGTGAAAGCCTGCTACCACAGCCCAACGATGATGTTTCCTTCCGTTTAACGAGATTTTCCCATTTAAAGGCGAAAGGTCTCTGCTATCCAAACTCAGTGAAAAGGCCCAAAATGCATCCTTCAGGTTCACCACACTAAACCATTCATGTTCCTAGGGTATTTTACTCAGGAGGGTTTAAGGGTAAGGGACTGCAGGATGTCAGGTATGGACTGTTACGTTTATAGCCAGAAGATCCTGCACCAACCGATGTGACCCATCAGGTTTTCTCACTACCGTATGATGACATACAAGGCTCCAATGGACCATCCTTAACAAGGCCTTCTGTTACTGGCTGCAGACCTCTTCTCCCTTCAAGGGGAATTGGCTATTGTCTCCTGCAAATTATTTCACCTGGATGTTTCAAAGTTACTTTTATCAGGGAAACCTGTAAACTTCCCCTATTTCCTTCCTTAACCCATACCCTCGGATCTATTCTCTTTTCTTCCTCCTCTGTGAGGCAGGCCATTAGAACCTTTATTTGGCCCTTCTCTGTTCCTAGACCCAGGCCTAACTCAATAATTAAACCCCTTCCTAAGAGATTAGTTCCCTCTTCTGGGACATACAAAAATGATCCCTCGGCAATCTCATTTTCTAATCTGATTCATTTTTTCAAAAATGGTAATTTGGAATCCCTCCCCTTTGACCCCAGAGACTAAAAGCTTTTCGGGTTGCAATTTCGTATTTTGTGGTTGAAAGGTCAAGGAGGAATGGGCTACCCCTGTATCTACTAAAAAGGCTGTGTCTTCCTTAGGCCCTACCTTTATATTTATCAAGGGTTCCTGGTGGGGTCTAACAGGGGGGAGCCCCTGACCTCCCTGTTCTTCATCTAATGCCACGAGGGAAGTCACTTCTTTTTCCCATAAAGGGCACCCTCTCTTAAAGTGACCTGGTTTCCCACATTTAAAGCATTTCTTGTCCCTCCTTTGGTCCTGTCTCTTTTGTTCCGTCTTTTCTGATTCACCAAAATTTTTGCTTTCTGCTTCTGCTTCTCTAACAAACACTTTCTGAGCTTCCCTCAGTAATTCCTCAAAATTGGCTTCTCATTCCATCCACCTATCTTCTGTAATTTCTTACCAATATCTGGCCAGCTTTTGGTTACAAAATTAACTTTTAGAAGATCCTGTCCTCCCAGATCTTCTGGGTTGAGTCTCAAATACTTCCTCATCTGGTTCCTGAGTCTCTGTAAAAATGCTGTTGGGGGTCTCTTCTTTCTCCTGTTGGACTTCAAACACCTTAGTAACATTTTGAGATCTTGGGCCCAGTTCTCTGATTCCCTTGACAATTAGCCCTTGAAGATCTTCCATTCTAGTCCTATCCCCTGGCTCATTATTATCCCACCTAGGATCTGCACCTGCGAGCTTCCGTTCTGCTGCGTGGACACCCTGCCCTGGTGGGTGCTCTCATTCCCAAAGGGACACAGCAGCTGTCCTGATCATCCCCCCCTCTTCACCAATGAGTAGGATATATTCATGATGGACATCAGCTCAGTCCAAGCACATATGTTAGGTCCCAGGGATTGATCTAGTTGGTCCTCTACACCAAGGGGATCTTCTAACAATGGTTTCATTTCCTTCTTGAAATTTCTCACCTCAGTACGAGTGAGGGGAACATTAACAAACCCAATTTCCCCTGTCCTAGTGGGACCTCTCTCAAAGGAAACATCTTAGGGGTTCTGGTGGACTCCCCAGAAGGAAGGGGGAAACTCTCTTAATTCTTACATTGTTCTAATGCCTTTCTAAGGTTAGAATAAGGGGCTGCAGGGGGCCTGGTAGGGGCCGAAAGCCCCCGGCTCTCAGATGAATCTGAGTCTCCTGCTTGATCTTCCTGGCTTTGTTCCCCTCGAGTCCCAGCCTGAGGATTATAAGGGAGGGAGACAAGAAAGTGGGTCCCAGGACTTGTCCCGGGAAGTTTCTTGTAGTTCCTCCTCCTTAGCTTTCGTCCTCTGGTATTCAGAGGAAATATGGGAAGTGCTCTTGATAACCAGCAGAGGGCGTAGGCTCTTTCCTCCAGTGAACTGGAGGCTTTGTCACTCAAAGAACTAGAGCCTGGCAAAGTCAGTTTTCATCCCATCCAAACTGAGGCCAGAAAATTGACAGCTTACAAATCGGTTCTTTAGTCCAGACAAAACAGCAAAATTTAATCATCATCTTCTTTTTTTTTTCCATTAAGGTATCGTTGATATACACTCCTACGAAGATTTCACAAGAAGAACAATGTGGTTATTACATTCACCCTTATTATCAAATTCCCCCATACCCTATTACAGTCACTGTCCATCAGTGTAGTAAGATGCCACAG